TCCGATGCAACTGCAGCGTACTGTAAAACAAAACCTATCCAGTCCCTGCATTTAGCTACTCAACAACAGAAAAAAAAACAGTGCTTTTCCCCCCAGAGAGAAAGAGAGTAAGAAAGTGAAAAAGAAAAAAATATTACAGAGTAAGGAAGCAGCACAAGGACTCTGCCTCACTGTTAAACAGCATAGCTCATTGATTTGGAGACCAGAAAAATGTCAAACTTGTCAACTATGCAGCTTCACTTCTGGAAAGGCTGAGCACATACCGTTCTCCATTAAGTACAACAGAAAGGGAAGAAGTTGACCCCAACAGATCCAGCCCTGTTATTCAAAATCCTAATGGTGGAGTTAGGTACCTAAACTTAGACTCTATACTCATAAACTTGCCAACATTCCTATATGTATAGTGTATCCATACGCTGTAAACTTCATTCAGTTACCTATTAATCCAATCTTGTTTTCTCTTTGTTATTATTTCTTTTTAAACACACAGTCACTCCTGTTCTGGGCATGCCAGGGCTGCGATAGCTCTGTGTGCTCCACCCAACCAGGGCAGCTCCTTTAAACAAACTTGTCTCTCAGCCTCACCTTTAAAGAAGAAAAAAAATACAACTGTTTTCTGTGCCAACGTCATTAAAAATACGTTCTCACATTGAACTTCAACCAGAGATCTCCTCCCTGTGTTTCCTGGATGTGACACAGCCGTTTAGAGGTCTAAAAATAAACCTGGCCATTCCGAAACACTGCCAGCCTGCATGTGTATCCTGTATTTATATGAGCTATGAATACAATTTCTGTCTCAATTGCCAAATTCCCTAGAAGATGGCATAGCTACACTTCATACAAAAGGGCAGACTGCAACAAGAAAGGGAGTTTTCTTATGCGCCTCCTAAAAGGAAATGGCAAAGGCTGCATTTTGAAAAGATGGGTAATTGCCTTTCAACACTACCAATGAGAAGGGAATGCATTCGACTTTTGTTAGTTTCAGTTGTACCACAGATTGCAGCAATGACCCTCTGGGGTGGATCCCCTACAGCAGAGCTGACTGGACACTGAGTATGTTTTATTCCCCAGAAAAGATCCTTCAGCCATCAGAGGAAGATAACAGCAAGACCCAAGTCAGCCAGATGAAGGTAGAAACAGAAACGCAGCAAGACAATCACAGAACTGTAGGGGTTGGAAGGGACCTCCAGAGATCATCGAGTCCAACCCCCCTGCCAAAGCAGGTTCCCTACAGCAGGTCGCACAGGTCGGCATCCAGGCAGCTCTTGAACATCTCCAGAGAAGGAGACTCCACCACCTCCCTGGGCAGCCTGTTCCAGTGCTCCGTCACCTCACTGTAAAGAAGTTCTTGCGCACATTTGTGCAGAACTTCCTGTGCTGCAGTTTCTGGCCGTTTCCCCTTGTCCTGTCTCCACACACTGCTGAAAACAGTCTGGCCTCACTACTCTGCCCCCCACACCTTAGATATTTATAGACCTGGATCAGGTCCCCTCTCAGCCTTCTTTTCTCAAGGCTGAACAGACCCAGTTCACTCAGCCTTTCCTCATAGGAGAGATGCTCCAGGCCCTTCACCATCTTCGTGGCCCTCCGCTGGACTCTTTCCAAGAGATCCCTGTCTTTTTTGTACTGGGGAGCCCAGAACTGGACGCAGTACTCCAGATGAGGTCTTACCAGGGCAGAGTAGAGGGGGAGGATCACCTCCTTTGACCTGCTGGCCACACTCTTTTTTAATGCACCCCAGGATGCCATTGGCCCTCTTGGCCACAAGGGCACACTGCTGGTTCATGGCCAACCTGTCGTCCACCAGGACACCCAGGTTCCTCTCTGCAGAGCTCCCCTCCAGCAGCTCATCCCCCAACCTGTACTGGTGCATGCAATTATTCCTCCCCAGATACAAGATTCTACACTTGCTTTTGTTAAACCTCATCTGGTTTCTTTCTGCCCAGCTCTCCAGCCTGTCCAGGTCTTGCTGAATGGCAACACAGCCTTCAGGCATGTCAGCCAATCCTCCCAACTTCGTATCATCAGCAAACTTGCTGAGGGTGGCCACTATCTCCTCATCAAGGTCATTGATGAAGATGTTGAACAAGACCAGACCCAGCACAGACCCCTGAGGAACACCACTGGTTACAGGTCTCCAACCAGACTCTGCACCATCGACGACAACCCTCTGTGCTCTGCCAGTCAGCCAGTTCTCAACCCACCTCACTGTCCACTCATCTATCCCACACTTCCTCAGCTTTGTTATAAGGACGTCATGAGGGACAGTATCAAAAGCCTTGCTGAAACCAAGGTAGACTACATCCACTGCTCTCCCCCCATCCGCCCAGCCAGAGACAACATCATAGAAGGCTACCAGGTTGGTCAAGCATGTCAGACAAGCTAATAGGGAAACAAGATGTTTTCGTTGGACCAGTGAACGAGGCTGAAAACAGAGGGCAGCTCTCAGGCACACAAACTGTCTTCTGTACTCACAGCACCACCGAGCGAGCAGGAGGTGGAATAATAGCTCCCTTCTCAGGAAGGTTATCCACATCTGCAGGAAGAGCCTGGCAAAGATTTGATACTGACTGAATCCAGCTATTTATTTCTTTTTTGCACGGCATCCATGCATTCAATTATTATTAACAGCTCGTTTAAGCTCAGGTTGTCAACTACTACAGCATAGCAAGAATTCATACAACTCAATTTTCGCAACACCCATCAGGAGGTAAACCGACAGCTCTCCCTTGTGCTTAGCATGGATCTGTCTGGTGAAATGACTCTATGTATTACAGTAGGATTTCTCACTACCCAAGATGGTATTGGCTCCCGTTGATGGCTTTTCACTTCATGTTCTATTCCTTCTCTATCGTTGCAGCAACTGAGCTACCAAATGGAAGGCTGAGATTGCTATCAAAGTACCAGCAGGAGGAGAACCTGTCTGCAACAGAAATGCGGTGCTTCTTTGTATCTACATGACAATACTGGAGGGGCTAACAGAACTGCATGGTCCCAGTTAGAGTGAGGTTTTGCAAAACAAAGGGTATCTTCACCACTTACCCACTCTAATTCTCCTTTACTCCCCGTTCCTCTTTTGTTTCTAATTAAACAAGGAAGTTGGGTTATGAATGGCTACCAAAAAAATGTTGAGAGGCAAAAAAAAAACAAAAACAAAACTCAGACGCCCTAGGTCTGTAAACCAAAATACACTTCTTTCGAAATCCAGGTGAAATAACCGACTGCACACCAGGGAGCAGAACAGACATCCTGGGAGAAAAATCTTAAAACAAAAGGTAAATTGAGGGCTTGTTCTCTGAATTCCCTTAAACTGCAAGTCCCACGTTTGTTGTCAAATCCCAAGAAGATACAAAGTTCTCTCACCTATCAGAGCAAGTCTGCTTTTTCCCTTCTCGAGAAGGCTGCTGAATTGCAGGATGTTTATAAATCACTGCTAAAGTTAAGGACAGCATGCCAGTCTTTGGTAGCACGGTACTGCTCAGGAGCAAGTCTCTTCTCAGCAGCTCAACCCTATAAATGCAAACAGCCTATTAAGAGAGCCAACATTTCCTTCTGATAGATTTTGCAGATAATGCAAACTAGACATTGGTTAGACATTACCTGTACTCCAAAATGCTATAACACAGTCTTCTGAATCTCCTATTACATAGGGCACTACTTTCAAAAAAAGTTTATTAATATGGGCAGCCCAAACAAGGTTTTCAGGCTGCTTTAGCTGTTGCTGGGCATTCATTTCATGGAATGAGACAGAGAAAGGATGCATTCCTGCTGAATTGAAGCTCTGTCTTGAAGGTGGATTTCCTGGAGAACAAACCAGCCTTTGATAGGTTTAGCAGCAGCACACCACCCTCCTTCAACCTCATGCCTGAAAGAGAAGCTGCTCACCCAGCAACAGGAAAACTCTGGCACGGTGCCTCCCAGAGCCTGCAGGAACACACACAAAACCAGATGCAAAATCTGTCAGAAAAGTGCTGAGTTATCAAAGCTAGTGCTAACACCAAGCTTTGTACTGAGAATCTGTCCGTTGGTGAAGGCACATTTCCTATTGCTTTGGGGAAAATGAGAAAACTTGGCATCTGCAGTATTTGCAGGGACAGGGTTAGTGAGCAGAGATAAAATATGAGTCACTGGTAGGGTAAGCTAATTGGAGTCATCTGTATCTGCTCTCATTTTCAAATGCCACCCTCGTATCTAAGCTAGTTTTTCCCCTCCATCTATAGTTAGTGTAGCTTTTTAAAAGAGAAGAACATTAACCTATGCAGCAAAGCACCTGATAAGACCAAGGTGCAACTTGTATCTACAGGTTAGTCTTCTGTAGAACATAAAAACAAAAGCAGAAAGTAAATACCACGGTTTGTACAGTATGGCTTCAAACGTGAAGGCACGCAGAGGGTGACACTACACATTGTTAATGATGCCAAACTCTGGTTTCTCTTTGATGAAAGTCAAAACTGAATTAAATACATATAATTAGCAGGAAAACAAAGCAGTAAAAACCAGAGCAAGCATCTCTCCCCCTGGATAAGTACCAGTGATTTTTCTGCACCATTCTTCACGAGCACCATCCAGAGAGCATAGGGCCATTTCTGCAGTGGGATGAGGATGAAGCCTGAGCAGTCAGGAAAACACAGACAGTATCTCCAGAAAGAGAACCTCTGCACTGGGGATCTTTGTGCAGGACAGAAAGGAAGAGAGGACATGCAGGGACTGGGCATTCAGAAAGGATTTGGGGGGGATGCTGAGAAGGGGGTGAATAAAAGCACGCAGGCAGCCTGTATGTGTGCAAGCACGTGCATACATATGTGTGTGGTCCACGATCTTGCACAGGGAGGGGAGGCACACAGCCCTTCTCATGTGCCATGAGCTCAGCCCCAAAACATGCAAATTCCCCTTAAGTTACTCAGACAGAAACCCAAGCAATACTATTTTGTTTTACACACTCTGAAAGCACAGATGGTTCAAGCAGGAGATGAGAAAAACGAGGACAGTTCTCCTCAATATGCAGGGATCAGTCAAGCGTTAAAAAATTTATTTCCACCTTACACATGGCATCCAAAGAAACAATACATATAAAGAGATCACTTACCCAGCAATTACACAAGCTTCCCACAGTTAACATTTTGAATTATATGGCAAAAGTAGTTCAAGATACTTTATTAGTTAGGGACAATAGGTACATCTCACGGGAGAGTTCCTGAACATACGGAAACAATCACGTCACATAGGTGACTGACTTCACTGACATGTCCCACAATCAGTCTGTATTAGTAAAGTTCCATTTTACACAATACCACTCGCTTTCTCCTGTGGATCTGCTCCTGTCCCTACAGAGTCTTTTGTCTTTGCAGGCATTTTGTTCTGTTCATTCTGCCACTTTATGTGTACATCAGTCCCATCTCACACGCTGCTGTCATACAGACTTCTAATTCAGTCGCCGTTCCCAAACTGTAGGAATCTTTATGGCCTGTCTACATTTTAGAAGAACTTGTGCACAGCACAAATTAATGCAAATGGCTTTCTCAGAGCACTTACTGAAAGATGTGCATCTAGAGACTGTCCTGAACACCTCTCTCAGCAGTCGAGGCTCCATTTTAAAACTAATTATAGAATTACAAAAACGTATACAAAAATTTATCCTTGGACCAGAACAATGTCTAAGAAAGAGTAGAGGTGTAAAGTTATCCAGGTATTTCTAACTCTGAAATGTTACAGAGTGTTGCAGTGCAATTCAGGTTACACAGAGTAATATTTCTTTCTAAAATGGAGAACTGTGTAACAGAATAAGTAATTTCTACTCTTCAGAAGATGTATGTTGTTTCTTACACAAAGACCTAGCTCCTAGGAATGACATATTTTTGTCCACAGTTGTAAACGTCCATACCTGTTTGTGTTCATGTAATTCCCCTCTTTAAATCTGCTAGAGGTAGATGAAGACGAAATAAAGCCCAAGATGTAAGAAGATACTGCAAATCAATTCTAACCTCACAAATCTAGAGAACATATGCTTTCACCAGATTTACTGAGCGCATTTATTTTTTATGTCGTATTTAAAATAGAACAGTACTCAACTTCTTCCTCCCATGCTGTCACATCAGCGCTTGGTACTGGCACAAAGTCGTTGGCAAAGCGTTCCTGAATTAGCACAGAGCCACCAATCCCAAATCACGCCCTCCAGCCGCATCAGTGCGCTTCAGGGCCCGCATCCCCAGGCTGCATCTCACCGCGCTCAGTGACCCTTCTCCATGTTCCTCCACGGGTATTCTGAGCACGGCTGCTCACCTGCATGTGCTGCAAAGCATTTGGCGACCACCACGAAATCAGGGATCCTAGCAGGCTCGCCATCTCACCTCAAGCCTTGTTTTGGCAAAGAGAAAGTCATGAAGCGGTATTTTCTAAAAACACTAATGAATGAGCTGACTCCCTGACAGGTTAGAAGAAAAACTGAAGATAGCTGTTTAGATCTCTCTTCATGTTTATCTACAGCTTGGCCTGGGGCTTCAAGTTTTCCAGCGTCTCCCCTCATTTGTCAGCGCATTCAAGTCAAGCATACAAGAAATAGGAATGAGCTCAGAGCCCTCTTTACAACAACAAAACGTGGGAGATTTCCTCTCTGTCACCTACCAGACAAAAGGGAGGAAGCATCGCCAGGAGCCAGAACATGTGCATTACAGTGCCTCCAAGTTTCTTCAGATCACAATACAGGCATGATCGCAAATGTGACATTATTTCTCTGTCTCATAACAGCAGCCACCACCATCTCATTTGGTATGCAAAAAATACAATGATTGCAGTAACATTTCCACAGCAATTTGAAGCGTGCCAGGTTCTTTGTTAAGTTACCACTTAAATGTAATGAAAACGATCGGACAGAGTGAGATAGGAGAACCCTGACATTTCACATCATTCAGTTTGTTTGCTTTAGTTACAGAATAACCATCCTGGCAGTAAAATTAAAGCCACCGTTCTAAATGAATGAGGCAATTCTGTGCATTCTAGAATCAATGCAGATTTAAGTACTCGTTGTCCCTCACAACATAACATTACTAAGCCCCAGAAAGCCCTGCTTTATGGACGCTGAACCAATTTACTCTTACTGCTTTCCTGCTCGCTAAGCTTGAAGTGCGTGTAGGCTAAGATGCCAAACAACGTGCACAGAATGCCAAGGCCTTGGTTAACAGACAGGGGGTCCTTAAACAAGAGGCACCCTCCCAGCAGGGTGATGCAGAACTTGAAGTGTCCGAACATGTTGTATCTAAGCACCTGTTAAGGATTACACAAAATCACACTGGCATTTGCAGTTAACAGAGAACGTTTAGGAATTTGGTTAGCTGTGCTCAGGGCACACAAAGGTGTATCACATTCAACTCATGTAGGATCACCATCCCTGGAGGTGTTAAAGAGACATTTAGAGGTGGCACTTCAGGCCATGGTTTAGTGGGAATGGTAGTGATGGGTTGATGGTTGGACTTGATGATCTTAGAGGTCTTTTCTGACCATAACAATCCTACAGTTCTATGAATTAAGCTAAAAAAAAAGGAATGTGCTTTCCCAGCTTTATCATATAAGAGAAAGCAGGCAGGTCACAAGCCGGTTTTCCCACAGTAAATCAATCCAAATGAATGCTAGCATAATTGATATGGAAACAGGAAAGGCAACTACTGTTACAAAGGATACGTGACAGGCGATGTGTTCCCAATGATCCAGTAAATGGACAAGTTTACCATAAAGGCTATCACACCAGACAGCAGTACCATTATCTGTGGATTAATGCACACAGTCAGCAACCCCACATACTTCTGACCACCTCTAGATACCTGTAGTTCCTTTACTTTCAGATACAACATATCAGGAAAGAGGAACACATCAAGAACAAAAATAAAACAGTTTCGTGTCAGTACAGACAAAAGTGGATGAAAGCCTTACCACGGCAGAAAGCGTCCAGGGCCCAAATATGCCCCCTTCTCCAAAGACTGGTTCAAAGAAGGGAATGATGAACAGCAGCATGGCCAAGGACATGGGTGCCTGATAGTACAGCAACTGCATGGAGTTTACCTGCAATTCATGCTGCTTTGCTCCGACCCACTAAGACCAAAAGAGAAGGCTGTTAAACATCAGGAAAACAACCCACAATTTGAGCAGAAGCAAACCACCTGCTAGCACAGAGGGCGTCTCATCTCACACGGACAACACCATTTAGACAGACTGGTGAGTGCTACCATCCACCTTTGCCAAACCAGATATTTGTCTTTTGTGACTACAAGCACATGGAGCACAGCCACGTGAGAAGAAATTTGCCTTCTGAGTCTACCTAGCCCTGAAGACACTCAGACAAGCTCAGACAGGATGGGGCTCTGAGCAACCTAGTCTAGTTGTAGGTGTCTCTGTTCACTGCAGGAGAATTGGACTAGATAACCTTTAAGGGTCCCTACCAACTTGAACGATTCTGTGATTCTATGAAAGGGAACACAGTGAGACCCCTCTCAGCCAAACGCCTGGCACCTCAGCCTTCTCTTCCTTCCTGACAGGAAGAGTTACACTTCATGATAATGAAAAAGGAACAGAGCTGGGAAGAAAGCACTAGCTCCCCTTTGCTCATGGCAAATTCAAGATCCTGCCTATGAAAGAGGCACCTTGGTCAGGGCAGAGTTGCAGTACTGCAAGGGCTGCCTCCTACACTACATTCTGGATATATAAACATGCTTGCATGTATATTGCCTTCTAAACTGCTGCCTCTTTGAACGCAGCACAACTTATGCTCATTTCCAAAGTGATACATTTACTTCCACAGACAAAAATGGTGCTGTTTGTTGCCAGGAATATTTCTAAAGCTACATTAAAATATTTGACTACCAAACATGGTGACCTTTCCTCCTTTCACATCTCATTAGTTGGCAACATGAATTCCAATTACATTTGCTATTAAAAAAATAAATCCTCAGGTACCATCACTTCCCCAGCCACCTGAAGCCACTCTCCAGCATCTCTCTCTCCCATTCTGCCCCAAACAGGACAAACCACCACTGTCTGTCATCTCACATTCCAGAGCACTCTGTGCCTACTGCAATCAAAGGGGCTCAAGTTGAGACATCATCTCATTAGCAGTACGGGGGCTGCTTTTAGAACTGTGGCAGACTGATGTGTTGAAAAACAGCAGCGGAAAGGGCTGAGCCACTCTGTGTTCTTCTACCACAACTGAGTAGAAGGTTACACTGGGCATTATCACAGAATATCCTGAATCTGAAGGGTCCTGTAAGGAGTCCAGCTCCTCATGGGAACACCCAAAATCACAACTCCAGCACTCGGGGCCGTGCCCACTGCCCTGGGCAGCCCGTGCCATACCACCGCATTGTGGTGAAGAACCCCAACCCAGCTGCCCTCCCCTCACACAGCTCCATGCCGTTCCCTCGGGCCCTGTCGCTGTCACACAGAGCAGAGCTCAGCGCTGCCCTCCGCTCCCTGTGAGGAGCTGCAGCCGCCATCAGGCCTCCCTCAGCTCCTCTGCTCGGCGCTAAGCACACACAGGGACCTCAGCCTCGCCCTCCCGACCCTTCTCTATCTCCGTAGCCCCAGCGCAGCCCCTGCGGGAACCACGGAAGGATGCTGACGGTGCGTCAGCAGATCAAGGACACTCCGCAGCTGCCGGCAGCGAGAGCCGACCGCCGGGCACCCCGCGCGGCACTGCCCGCTCCGCTCCGAGGGGCGCGGCCTCTCCCGCAGCGCAGCCCGCCCGCGCCCCCCGGCCCCGTCGGTACCGACCACTTGATAGAGAGAGGTGACCAGGACGCCCAGCGTGGCGAACACCGTGCCGAGGGCGCTGAACTTCACATCGTAGTAGGAGTTGAGGAAGACGCCGAGCGTGATGGGCACCTGCGGGACGGAGAGGCGTCGTGGGGCGGCGGCGTTGGCTCGGCGCGGCCCCAGCCCCGCGCATCCCCCGCTCCCCCCACCCCCCCCGCCCTCACCAGGGTGAGCTTGATGCGGAGCGGGAAGCTCTTGCCGTAGGCCAGGCTCTGGATGAGCACGATGACCGGCGTGGTCATGGCCTTGGCCAGCTGATAGGTGCCGATGGTGTTGCTCTGCAGCGAGAGGTTGGTGAAGACGACGAAGCCGCAGAAGCTGAGCGCCAGCGGCAGCACCTGGGCGGCCCGCAGGCTCTTGGGGGCGAAGGCGCCGAGCGCCTGGCAGAGGTAGAGGCCGAGCCAGGTAATGGCGAAGTGCACCAGCGTCAGGCTGAGGTTGGGGAAGCCCAGCCGCACGTACAGCCACTTGTTCAAGAAGACGATGCAGATGGAAGCGGCCAGGTTCACCAGCAGCCCCGCCGCCAGCCTCCCCTGCGCCGGCACCCAGCCCATGCCGCCGGTACGGCACGGCACGGCACGGCACCGCACCGCACCGCACCGCACCGCACGGGACGGCACGCCGCGCCCCGCGGGGCGGCAGCCCCTCACGGCCCCTCACGGCTGCAGCGGCCGGACCGCCACCAGCCCCGCCCCGCGACACGTGGCCACGCGCCTTCCGGCGGGAGCGGCGGGGCTGAGGGCCGGGCGGCTGAGGGCAGGGCTCCTCCCGGCAGCGGGCTCCGATCGCGGGTGCGCCGCCCCGAGCAGGCGGTGCAGTTGTCAGCAGGCACGGATGACGGGGGTGGGCCTTTGTCAGGCGGCAGCGAGCGCTGAATTAGCTGGGCTGGTGCCGCTGTCTCGCCCTCTGCCTCTCCCTTTAGGGGAGAAGCTAGACGCATTTACGCATGTAAACGTGCAAGATTTCTAAACGGAACGCAGAACCTCGCGCTCGCTTCCGGACACGATCGCTTCTTCCCCAGGTCAGGATTACCTCAACCTTTTGAGCGACTGAACTGAGCCCTTCAGCAGCGCTGCTTCCTCTGTTGGACGTTCCCCTTCGCCCACTGCTTCTGCCTTCCCCTTCCCTGCTTTCCACACGCTGCCTCACTTTCCTTTTCCGCTGCACCCCCGTGCTTTCTTGTACTGCTGAATAACGCTTCTCCTCTACAGGCAGCTTCTCAGCATGTACACGAAGGAAGTCCGCACAGCACCACCTTTCTATGTGTATTGGCAGCTTAGATGTGAATGAACAAACATTTTCTGTTTGTAAAGCACATTTATTAGAAAAAAAAAGTTACAAAAGAGACTGTGTAACAAATATCCTCTTGTGTTGGCCAGGACTTCGAAATCTGTGTAACTGTGTTTCTTGGAATAAAGATCAGAATTAATTACACAACGAACCAAAGTTGATCAAAGTGTCCAGACTTAACGTTCAAAAGTTTTGCAGATATCTAAAAGAAATTCTAAGACTGAATTTCATATCCCAAGGGATCAAGATCCTGGTCCAGAAGCATCAGAGAAGATTCTCTCAGCTTCTGTAAGAATTTTCGGAGTTCTTCCTTTGAAAATACCTAAGAATAAAAAAAAAGTACATAATTGAGTTATATTTCTTTGCAAGGAATTGCACTGGTATCAAAGTGAATGATGGTTTGCTGAGCTACCCAATGTCTTCACTGATTTTTCATCTAGAAGAGTGCCCACAGCAGATCCATATTTCAGAAAGGTATTTGGTATGGGACTGGGAGCAGTAGCAGTACTCAAACCCCACAAGGAGTGTCCAGATACTCTGTCTCAGCTACTACACAAAGTACTGGGGAACTGACAAGTTTAATTTTCCTGTTATTGCTGGCAGAGATATTATAAAGGCAATCCATGCAAATGCATCACAATGTTTTTCTTAGGCTCGATGTTTCCTATCTGGTTTCTAATCCTCTACTTCCATCCAACGTGGATGCCTTTTGGGTATGTGATCTTTGTGAGGTATGTATTTAAGGGGACTGAATTTGGGGGTCTTGGAGGGAGAAGGTTGGGTAAACCAAGTGCTCCCAAGTGAAACCTGCTTATAAAACACTCTGAAGTGTAATGGAGAAAAAAAATCAATTATAATGAAATACAGTTTTATAGTTCAATTTCTTTCAGTTCAATTACTGTTATCGAAAAATTGGTACTCAGAAGAACTATTCTGCCATCACCTTTGGTGTTTCAAAGTTAACGCTCAGATTCCTTTTAATCAGCATAAAAAGAAACTCTTTACTACTGCAGTGAATGGGAAGAGACGAAGAAACTTAGGATGTTCAGTACCATATGGTGTCTTCCTTTCTGTACGGAAGCTTCTTTCACAGCCAACCCACGGAGCTTTTAATTAGAAGCCAAGCTGCCTGCAGCTCTCAGTAACTCACCGTATAGAGCTTGTGTCGCTCGGATGCCACCATGTCAGCCAGCCGCAGGCATTCCTGGTACTGCCCAGTACTGTGCAACACCGTGTGCAGTAAGAAGCACATCATTGGCAGACACAGCTTTCGCAGCAGAATCATCTGATGTGTTCGTTCGGGGTCCTCCTCAGCATCCTTACGAAAGCACAATATACATTAGCATTAAAAACACCCACCTTTAAAAGGCAACATAATCAAGATATTTGTAGTGTCAGAGGAAAAATAAACAGGACTAAGCCTAAACTAGACTGCCAGATCTGGTTTATACCATACCTGAAGGGGAAGTGACCTATAACTGGTGACTGCAAGGCCAGAGAGAATTATTAATAAGTAAAGAGAAGGACATGGAACTAAAGATGACAAGGGTACAGCTGGATACAATCCAGCACTTTGTGGCCCATGGCATGACATTAAAAATTATTTTACCTCTCTAACATCAACCATCCATCCTCCATCAACAAACAGCAACACGTTGTACATTTTCTCCTTGACATCACTTGTAAGACCATCCAAGAAACTTTTCCAGATACCATAGTCCACCTGGCAAAGAAACAGGAAATTATCTTCTGGACAGAGTGATTCCAAGGCTACTGTAGCAGAATCTTCACCTCGTGCATAACAGCCAGCACTGCTGTAATTTAGATTAGAATCTTCAGCCAGGGAAGAGTTAATAGGGAAATCAAATACTCAGATTTATTTATAACATTGATAAACAATACATTGTAGTGAATACTTAACCATTACATAATGCAGTATTGCAAATAAATCTGAGTCACACAGGAAAAAAGTATGAGAATTTCTTGTGCAGTGGCTCTACTACTGTACTGTTTTCTACTCCCTCTTTTGGCATATCAATACAGTACTTTATAAATAGAGTTCTTAAGCAAAAGGAACGAGCAGACTTCTGCTTCGTTAAACTAAGACTGTCTCTTAAGCAAGAACATAAATGTTGATAGTAAATAACTTTTACCTACCTCGTATTTTTTTTCTTTATGTTCATGGGCCACTTTTTCAGTGAAACTTGCTTGTGGCAACAAAGGCGGCTTCTGTGGAGCTGAGTTCATGTGCTGAAACCATTTATTGAAGATTTCATGGGCTTCCTGCATTGCATTGGAAACAATGTTTGGACATCTGTTAATTTTGAGTACAGAAAGGAGCTCTCACTGTTCTGTAAACTTTCAGGTACAGTGTATCCAGGAATCAGAAGTTTATTCAAATGGGTAAAGCTTAAATTGTCACCAGCAAAGCAAAGCCACCATTATTTACATTATCATCACATTAGTATTTATTAATAACTCGGAACACAGTTTATTTAAAACTCACCAAATATGCCCTTATACATAAGTGTTCTCTTATAGCATTGTCGTCTTCAGCTGGAAGAGAGGCTTCTATTCCCTGTTCTTCCCACTGGTTATATATTTCTGCTATAGAGTCTTGAGGAATCTTCACAAACACGTCTTTTGCAGCTTCATGCTTCTTGGATGCTGTAAGAATGTGAACTGAGCATCAACTGCTGTGCAATTTCCATACTTTACCTACATAAACTGACAAACTGTATCACAGTTAAGTCACTATAAGGAAAAAAGATGCACTGTACAGTGCTATACTCTATCACACCCATGCCTTTTAACAGACAAGATGCAAAGCCAGATCAAACATATTGCCAAAAGTCAATGAGAACAAAACCAACACTTAAAAAGTCTACAGTATTTGTGAAGTTGAGTACCCAAGAACTTCCTCATGATAGCGTTGCTTTGCTTGAGTGCTTCAGCCCTCTGTGCAGGATCAAATACGAGCCAGTCAATTACATCTATTTTCAGCCGATCTGCCTGTAAAAACCAATGTATTTATTAGAGTTACTAACATTTAAAACACACAGGTGGCATTAAATATAATAAATCTACTCAAACAAATACTCAGGCTTCCAGAGATCTTTGGACAGTCTTACAATGTATTAATAAGAATCATTTTATTCACACCTTTTGTATCAAAAGATTAGGAAACCTGGTTTAGGGAACCTGGTTGGCAGGGGGGTTGGTCTCGATGATCTCTAGAGGTCCCTTCCAACCCCTACAATTCTGTGATTCTGTGAAATAATCTCTGTGGTTTAAATTCATCCAAAAAATCCATTTTGAAATACCTCCAAAATTTTCAGACCAATGGGTAAGCATCAGATCTCAGGAACTTCTATGAATTACCAAGTATGGAAACCTTAACATGAAAGCACTGTATAAACGTGGTTTATCAAACCCTTGCCATAAACTTTAGGATTACACTCATCCTGAGACCAGTTTTCCAACTGTTGCTACTTCGTTAGCTCAGAGGGCAAGAGTTGAATTTCTTTTTATGAAATAGCAAAAAATTTACTCCATGTTTACAAGGTATCAGGGCTTTCCAAACACTATTCTGGAAATAGGTTAGCTATTAATAGTACCTCCAATAGTAATTGTCACTTAAGTATTGAATTGGATCCAGCTGACATTCAGTGGTGATGACAAGGAACCTGTCAGTACAGACTATGTCTGTAGTAGCTAGAATGTATAATTTGAACATGGAATGAAGTATGTCTGACATCCAAACCATTAATCCTCATAATTCTTAGAAGCTACAATAATACTCTACTCTCAGCTACAACGTATTTTGTCACAGGTATTTCACAGGCTTCACCTTTACTTACTGCTCTCACAGTGACCTGCTCCTAGCGACACACAACTCAAGCCCAGAAGATCAAAGAGATGTAGAAACAGAAGTTAAGAGTTCATGCAATTCATCTCCTTGCTTGGCCACATGAAAGGCATGTTTCTCCCACAGACTCTCTCAAGGCAATTTCCAGCAGTGTTTAAAGAGAAATATGGAACAGATGTGGTGAAGGACTGAAGGACTCTGTGCTTGACTGCAGATTGGAATAGCTCCCCAACAAAGCACACTCACCTCTGTTGTGCCTGTGTCCAACATATGATCATGGTGACTGAAATCCCCAGCATCCTTCTTGCGGATGTTCTCAACAACAGTTTTTGTTATGGCTGCAACATCCAGGCCTAGGTGAAAAGAGAATTGCACAGTGGGGATCAGAAATTCAAATTTCCTGCTGAATGAATTTCAGACTGGGGCTGTGGACCTTATTTCTTACATTACCTGTAACTGTTACTGGGCTGGTCACACTCTCACTGCCACACTAAATTATAGGCTTTTGAGATACATAATTTATTGCACGTATTTTAGATGAATAATATCCAAGGTAACAGAAAACACCAAACAGTCTGTGCTGGGGACCTGCATGCAGATATGTTTGTCAAACTTCAGAGCATATATTTAAGACGGGCAGTTAGCATTTAATTTCTGCTATGTTTGGACATGATCCACAAGCAAAAGTGGTATTTAGCTTGTTTTAGAAATAGAATTGCTATTCCAGACTACAGGAAGAAAACACAATACAGAGCACATCTCACCTGCTTCTTTTGCTAACTCAAGACAGTGGTGGCGTTGATCGCTTTCAGTAACATCTTCTAGAAACAGAGCATACTGGGCAACAGCCAGCTCTGGGGGCAGGTGGCTCACATAAAAAGCTATTAAGTCTGTGTGCTTCTCTGATATCATCCGCTGAAGAACAGAAAGCAAATATTAAAAAAAAAACAATGTTTCTCTGTGTACACACCTAAGTTATGAATATTAAATAATGTGTAAGCCAGATGCCTAATTGTGTGGCTTTTTTTTCCCCCTTGTACCGAAGACTCCACTTGTTTCTCAGCTACTAAACAAGGGTCAATAATCTCCTACGTAAGCATCTCTGACAGAAATGCTGTATACTCAGGCACCTCCATGCATCTATTAGGAGAGCACTAACTCTTTCCACCATGTAACCTTTACTCTCACTTTTTCCTCCTTTATGTCTAACCTCAAAGAAAACAAAATAGAATTCTGAAGGCTTACCTGAATGTAGGTCTTTAGGACTTCAACAGAAACTTCCTCCTTATTGCAAACAAATACAAATTCAATTTTAAATGAGATAATGTAGCAAAAAACAACACCAAAAAACAACAAACAAACAACCCCTGAACACCAGGAAATACCAAGGACAGCCTGTACAACGCAAACAGCTTTAGCTACAAACCAAGTGTTGATTTCTGAGCCATCATTTTAGTTTGATATGGTTATCTTGTGTCTATGCAGATTTTTAAGCAATAACAAATTAGTGTGATATCCCTCACCAAGGGGTTTTCAGAACTTAAAGAAACATCCACTGGTATGTATTTAGAATTCCTGTTCAGCCCACAAGGTGAGTTTCTCGTTGCAGCTAACAACTACAAAATCTAAAGCCATTGGATCATCAGGTGCTGCAATAAAGCACATCTAATTCACAAAATAAAGCGAGGTGCCAGCCCACCTTACATTTAATTGATACAAATATTAGTGCTGCTGACTCCAGTGCTACTAGTTCATAAATCTACTGCATTCAGTCATAATCAGTCTGTAAGCTGGAAAATGCTTAAAACCATGCAGGCTGACTTTTGTCAAATTCTTATTATCATCTGTGAGTAACGCAAAGCACTGCAGCAGTCAATAAAAACAAGCTTGCCTTACTTTTGTCTCAGCACTTTGATGAGTGCTGCCAGTACCTGAGGAGATTTCTCTAAGTTTTCTCTACAAGCAAGAATACTAAAAGCACACATAAATGACATCAGGGATTCTGATCTAAGAATTTATTTGAGCTGTACTCAAAACATCAAAACTAACTTCAAAATATATTTTGGCAGGGGAATGAAGCAATGAGCAGACATTAAAAAAAAAAACAACAAAACAACAAGCACAATAACTGAAAGCTGAGTTGAAATCAGCTAGAGAATATATTAATCTTTTAGCAAAAGAAGAACTTAGTTCATATGTATGCTTCCAAATTTTAAAGTAATAGAGAAATGGGGCTTTAATTACTTGTGATTGCCTCAGGAAAGAGTAACTGCAGCTCTGCGACTCATCCTTCTATTCAGCACAAAGTGGCTAGGTAGCTAGCAAGCTGTGCATGGTATGTATTTGTGGAAGATACAATGGCTTTGGCTAGGACGAAAAGGAACTAATTGCCTCAAACAAATGCATTTATGAGCATCCAGCAATAAATACAATTCTAAGGGCAGTGCCTGAATCAGGTTATTTTGGCTGCTGTATGTAAATCTGACCTTGAATTCTGAGTTAGGCCCTTTTTTCCCCACACAGGCTTCTAAATAAAATCTGCCTTCCTCAAACAACATTTTTGAAGCTGACCTGGAGAGGAGGAGATGCTCTTTTTAGGATCCAATATCAACAAACACACTACAGGCACGTAGCTCCTCACCAGCCCGGTAGTAATTTACCATGACAGTACAGACTTTGAGTATTTAAACGCATTTATCCTAATTCAAAGAGCGGACACTGCGACAAGAACTTCACACTTACCTTAGTCTGCTGGCCCAAAGTGCGGAAAAACAGAATAAGATGTGTCATGAAACGAAGGAGGTGCCCTGGCAGCACACTTCTGTCTTTGGAAAGCCATCTGTTGAATTCTTCCATCAGACCTGTAGCCACCAAACACATGTCTGTATCAGTCAGACCCCAGGAAAAGCACCTAAGAAATAGTTCAAAACTACGCATCTATTCAACTAATATAGTTTAGCCTAAAAAGCACAATAAAACAGAATTGCAACAGCTCGGCTAATATTTATGTTTGGTTTTAATATCTGCAGAGCATTCTGTAATTTTTAGACAAAGTTGCAGCATTATTCTCACATATATTCTGAATCATTTACACAATTTCATGACCGCCTCCAAAACTGTTTTGTAGGTCAAGCTGCAGAAACCCCCTGTAGTTCTCAATTAAAGAATCAGCCTTGCTTTTAGGTGGAGTTTGCCTACTGTGCATTTCTAAAACCCATTCACAGAGAAGTTTCTGGAAACATCACCAGAAATAATGCAGCTGGTTGACATTTAAAAGTCACTTAGAGAAAAGCTCACCATCCACGTCTCCCAGTATAATGAATTTCTGAATCACATGATAGTGTTCTTGATTCTCCTCTATAACTCTCTGGGGAGGAAAACAGAAAGTCCAAACTGTGAATAAAATCTCATGGCACAACATGTTAAAAAAGAAAAAAAAAAAAAAAAAGCAAATTTGTAAATGAAGCAAAGGTTTCTTAGAGGAAAAAAAGCAGCTCTCTTATTTCAAAGGGCGTTCTACATAAAAAAAAAAAGAAGATGTACCTGCTATGTCCATGTCAAATTATAAGAATACTGACAAACTGAAAGAGCTAGAATATAGATCTGTGATGTTAATGCTTTCAGAAAAGAGATCCAAAAACAAGGGCTTTTTGCTTTGAACAGAATAACAGTGTATCAGAACAGGTTCTACAATGTCATCAAAGATGCAACATTTTCTGTGAATCCTTAAAGCAAAGGCCTGTGAAATATACTTGAAGACATTTTTCTGCAGGGAAACTAAAGTATGAAACACACACAATTCAAATGAACCAGTGAAACTGGCTGGTGGGAATAGCACCAGAAAGGCCATGACAGCTGAGTGCATCTGGCGAGCTGCTTCCACCTGTACACTCTTTATTTGACCCCACCAAACACAGTTTCAATTTAATCTTTATAAAAATTAACATATAAGTTATCTATTCCAGCTTAAATGAAATACTCCGTGTTAAGGACAAATACAGTATACTAAAAAATATGTGCTTTTCAATTTTGAAAGACCTGTTCTGAAATATAAATGCAGACCTCCTACAAAGAAAACCACAAGCAATCAATTTTCACACGTTTTATCAGAGTGTTAAAAATGTGATTTACACTGTCTGCTTCGCACGTCTGACAGCAATTTGTGGTCCACTGTTTCTTTAGCACATTCAGTTAGTTTGGCAGATAAGAAACAAGACAAAACCTGTACCTTCTTCATCATTAAAAGGTGGCAGAAAAATCTATTTGAATTAAGTGTACATTACAGGGATGGAAAACCTGTCGCTGTTTTGTGAAATAGCGGAGAAGCACAAACCATTGTGTAAGTAGAAACAGCAAACAGTGAGGAGAAACTGTAAGCACTATATACCATTTTGTCTGTTGCCTGAAGTTCTTCAAAAACTTTTTCTGAAGTCCAGCTTTAAAGTAAAAGAGAGAAGGTTAAAAAAAAAAACACCACCACCACCACAAACATTACATTGAATATTGTGAAAGGATCCTTTGTTGAGGGAAAGAACATAATTGCTACCTAAAACTTACTTGGTTTCTAAATACTCTCTAGGGAGCTCTTCCATCTCCTCTGCAGTTACTACTGATGTTCGTATTTCTTGCTCCACAAGTGTATCCACCATGACCCTGAAATATGCCCAAACTGTGTCCTCCCAGGTGTCACAAACTGGAAGAAGCTGTGTATTTTCAACAACAGAACAAAACAGAGCAAGAACTGTTAGAGATGGAGAACCATCAGAATCCAAACACATCAACTGTAACTTAAGCTCAGGTTTTTTGCTGTCAAAGCAGACTAGAAGCTATCACAAACAGCAACCTTTCCTTCACTAACACAGGATAAAACCAAAAATCCTTTCACTAAAATAACGGTCCAGTTCCTTGATTATTTTTAATCAGAAGTAGTCAAAATAAAAAACCCTTTTACCTCCTTTAACCGGTGGCATCACTGTGACACCATTCCCTCTTTTTTGTAACAGTTCAGAAAACCAACCCAGATGAAAACAATCCACTCTTCTGCTGTGACATTTTCCAGCAGGGCCACCTTCCCTCACAGCTTTATGTCATGGCTGCACAAGTCACAGTGCAATAATGAGTGGGGAAGGAATGAAGGAAGAGCTCTGTGGCAATGCCATCTTGGAAGTGTTTGAACTGTGTTGCTTTATCCATATTCTAAGAAAATACTGAGAAAACTACCTACAAACATTCCCATTATACTTCTAAAATTATAATAAAGAAAAAAGTCCATCTGAGAGATCACTGAGCAAGAGAACCCAGATAGTGCTATTATACATAGAATAACGCACTAAAACTTTGTATCTAGTTCTTATCCAAAACTTACTAGGCTCTTTCAGAAGCCCTGGGACAAGTTCCAGATGCAACACTGCACTTCAGGAAACATTTCTCTCTTACAGCAATTTTAAAATTACTGAAGTTACAGAAAATACTGAGTTTCATTAAACGTCTCTCCTTTGTCAAAAGGAGGCAAGCATTATCTGCTCTGTACTTCAGTATAACTTTACAATGCCTCCTTCTGTAAAAGAGCTCATTTCAAACTTCAATGAATAAAAGAACTGTAAAAACACACTAGTAATCCTTCTTTTATTTTGTGAATCATTTTTATTTCTAACTCATTGTTCCAAGACAGGGAGGGAAAGGAGGTGCCGAGCTCCTCAAGTACAAGACTACCACTGACTAACAGCAGGTAAACTTTCATTACATTGGCTGTAACTTTCCTCATTACCTTTTCATACGTAACCCCCCCCCCCCCCACACACACAGTTTTGTGCTCTCTTTCTCCTAAATAGTGATTTATTTATATACATGTATAAAAAACATCACTACTAAAGAGGAGAGCACAGAAAATACCTGGAAGATTCAAACTAATAAGAGGAGAGAATTACTTAAGACTATCAATAGTGAAATTTGGTTACAGACTCATGTCTAGATACACCAACTTGTCTAAGGCTTGCAACTTAAAA